AAATCACTAATTGTTGAGAGCATGAGAAATTTTATCACTAGTTGTTTTAGATTAGGACAAAAAACTTAAATAGGTCATCCGAGATAAGGTTCGCCAACCCTAAATTATTCAGACCTCAAATTAAATAGCTTACTTTAGTGTCATCTACCTAACTTATGATAATGCAACCCTTATTTTGCATTAAATCATTATCTTAAGGAAAAAGTGCCTGTCAATCTTACCTCCTAAAGATTATGAGGAAAATCATTTTAAAATTACATCGTTTCAATAAATTTTTATTGAGAAAGACTAAACTACTCTATTTTTAAAACATGCATTAAGGTGATTTTTGTCCTTTTTTCTCTTAATTTTTTTGAGGTAAGGCGGATAAGCACTAACCCCTTATCTTAATTAATTTTTATCTTCAATTTATTAACATTTAGAAGTGAACAAAGGGTCGTGCATGTGAAACCATTGAGATTGGCCAGTAATTTTAACCAAAATGTGACTTGAACAAAGGGTCGTGCATGTGAAACCATTGAGATTGGCCAGTGATTTTAACCAAAATGTGACTTTTCAGCCCACCTTTGCTACCTTTAATCATGGACTAGATTTCTATGCATCTTCCCCTAGCTATCATTGCACACATTTTCATTGAAATGTATGGGCATAACTGTCTATTATGGAACAATATTGTTATTAAAATATGGTTGAATTATAATTTGAGGGTCTTTTAAAATATTTACAATGAAGGAGTTGAAAATCAATTGGTCATGGGACAAGAATGTTAGTTGGCACATATATTACATAATTAAATATCCAATGGAAGATATATATCTGAGCGAGTTGTGCACTGATTTTCAGGTAAATTATTTGAGGAAGGTTAGACAAAGAGAAGTGAACTATTAAAGTTTTGAAAAATCTCAAAAAAAAAGTTACATATATACATTAGTATTTTTCTATGTTTTGTTATTGAAGTTGATACAACACAGTCACACACAATCATATCATGTAATAAAATCCATCTTACTCTGTCTATTCTAGAGCAATAATTTTTTTATCTAAAATTTATGTCACATTAATTTTTTTATAATTTAAAAAATAAAAAATATGTAATTTTTTCTATTTTAATTTTATCATTATACCTTATATTGAATTTAATATTCGTCACAGTCAAGGACATTCAACAAAGATATACACTATTATTTCATTAGAAAATTTTAAAAAATGTAGAAGTATTAATTTTATTTAATTGATTTTATAATTATATTATATAAATTTTATAATTTGATAAAAGATTTATATTCCTATCCAGCCAAAATTTTATTTGGATCCTAGGACAAAAAGTGAGAAAGAGTACTGAGCAAAACAATGAAAAGGACATTGATTAACAGAAGGCAAGGATATCCCCACCCCAGGATGGGAAGTAGTGGCTTTGGTGCCAGCCATGGGTAGCTAATCTGAAAAGCTGCCTTTAGGCTCTTACATTTATGTGGATTCTTTACCCCTCTGATTACTGTACATGGTACCCATAAGGTCCCTCCAACAAAATCTTCTTAGAACCTCTAAACTCCTAATTCTCTCTTTTGATTATTATTATTATTTATTTTGACTAAAGTTATAGTCATTAATTATTTTATTAAAATTATTAATTTTAATTATAATTTTATTAATTTATTTTTTAAAATAATTAATTATAATATAAAAATATTTATTTATAAATTAATTTTAAATTATTAAATAATAAATATTAATTATTTTTAATAATTAAATTAAAATAAAAGTTTAATTGTTTTGATGGTTATAATCATAATCTTATTTTCCCTCTCTCTTTTCTTCTTTTTCTTTATTTTTAACTTTTGCTCTCTAATAATTAAATTATCAATTTAACAGTTCAACGCATGCAATCCATACATCCAATTAAAAACTTAAAAATACCAATGGAATTTTCTTTTGTCACCAGAATACAAGGCCACTGAAAAGGACAAATCCAAAGAGTGAAATAAACATGGGATGGGGAACTCTTGATTGATAGAAAATGAAATCTTTCAAAAAGGCGCAAAAAACTCCAACGAAGATGGTGGGGAAAGATTGAAAATGAAAGAAAGGTATATTTTGAGTTGACTTACTATTAAGAAAAAAGACTTACTTAAATAGTAACACATCCTTATCTAAAAAAATACATGGTTTCAAAAACCTCTTAAACTACAAATAAGAACTTAACCCAAGTGAATATTTATTAATTTAAAAGTTTTAATTTAAAGTAAAAAAATAGGAGTTTAAATCTCTATTATATTGTCATAGGTTATTGAGATGCAAAATTATTTGGATGCATGTGACCATCAAGAGGATTATAAAAAAGACCAAAAAGTGGAAGAGGATGATATGGGGGCAGTTTTAATCAAACAGATGGGAATTGATGTAAACAAATTAAGTGTCCTTTTACCATTGACAAGAAAATGAGACTTTTTCTAACGACAAGTTTGAACAGACAGTGCAGCGACCCAAGCTAGTGTCATTAGCAATAGGGGAACATAGTGGTTTATATCGATAAAGAAAGAGGAAAACCCAAGAAAAAAACAGAAAAAAGAAAAAAAGAAGAAGCTTGATTTAGCTCTTCACCAACTCTCTATGTAGAAGAAAATAAATAAATTTAAGGCAAAAAGATTGCACTTATTCCTTGAGTGGTTGGGTGGATGTATATTACCTTTTAAATCATAAAAATACACACTTAATCCTCTAAAATCATGAAAATGCATTATTGGTCACTTGTAGCTTGAAAAATGCGTGGTTCATTTTTTTTTTTTAATTTCACAGCCACTATTAATGAACTTGTGGTATTAATTAAGTACACATTTTTCTAATGGCCAGAAGAAAAATTAGTACTTTTAAAAGGTCAAGAGCACATTTTTAAATAATTTGAGAGGTTAAATGGGTACCTTCAAATTATACGAGATCAATTGCATGCGTATTTTTTAATTTTATAGGACTAATAATTAATCGAGGATAAGTGCAATTTTCCCCATAAATTTACTAGGAAGTTTACTCTTCAACGCCCATTAATTTCTTTACTAGAAATTAAGACCTCTTCAATTATCCACTAACTAAAAGAAATGTCAAGATTTTGGAAAAGTTAATGTATTATCATCAATTTCTCATCAATTTCTTTTTTTTTTTTTTTGGTAAAAAATTTCTCATCAATTTCTGTTTCACAGAAAAAGGGGTTTAGTTTCCGCTGGTCTTAGCCGCCCTCAACACTGTGGTCCATAATATGTCCCATCGTGATAGGGAATCTTACAATTTTTGTTTTTTTTTTTTTGGATTGAGGAATTTTACAATTTTTAATCATCAAGGTATTTGTATATAATCAGGCGTGGGTATAATTTCCACATAGATAGCCTAGCCTTAGGCCAATTGAGTTGTCGTGTTCAGCCCAGTTGCTTTAGTTAGTGGATTATATTCATTTTTTTAATAATTAAGTGTGTTTTGAGTGAATTTTTTTATATATTTTAAAATTAAATTTTTTTAATAATTTTAAA